TCCTAGAATTGCCAATCACGAAATGGACTCTTACGACTATTCTTAACACGTGCGTGAACCCTAACTTAAAACGAAACTTAATATCATCCCCAGTACGAACAGTTCAGCAGTTCTAATAGATACACTGTCATGATATATGACATGAGGGTTATCTTCATATACTCCACACTCATACATCTCTCACACATACCTGCCCACACTTCACTCACACTTCACTCACACATCTCTCACACTTTACTCAATCTCACACCACTGACACAATCTCTTCCAAAATGTCACAAAATATCACTCAAACAATCTCACAAACATTCACAATATCACACACGTCAGTTATACAATCTCACGCAATCTCAAAGATCAATCACAAAACCTCACTATCACTCGCACAGTTCATTAAATTACTCACACAATAAGACACATCATTCACACAATCTCGGAGATCACTGGCATAAATCTCACACAGAACTCACACAAGGTCACACATCACTTACACAATCGCACATGTCACTCACACAATCACACATATCACACATAACTAACGTAATCGCACATATCACTCACACATCACTCACACAATCGCAAATATCACTCAAATAATCGCACATATCACTCACACATCACTCACACAATCGCATATATCACTCACACATCACTCACACAATCGCATATATCACTCACACATCACTCACACAATCCCACACATCACTAACACAATTACACATATCACTCACACATAACTCACCCAATCGCGCATATCAATCACACATCACTCACACGTCACCTCACAATCACACGCATCACTCACCCCTTCGTAATCCCCACTCACGCCTACCCTCTGACCTCTACAACATAGCGCTCACCATCCACGTATCTAATAGTTCTCGTAAAATCTGTTTCCCTACCCCCTCCCCCATGCTCCCCACATCTTTCAATACCCTCCATCAGCAACGTCGAAAAGTTTGTTGTTTATTTTATTTCAAGAAACCACCGCCCCTTTATCTACTTCCTGTTGTACAACGGTTTAGTGAGCATTTAACACTGAAGGCCGTCCCCTTCTCCAGCTGATGCTAACGGTAATGTAAAACCCGTGTCAGGCCGCCAGTTGATATTAGACCCGTTGTTTACATTCATCTGTTTGATCAGCTGGTATCTCTGAGCATCTTCGATTGGACAGGTCTAAGTCAAGCCAACTCCAAAAAAAAAAAAAAAAAAAAAAAATCTATTTACCTCCCTTTCCACTCATATATCGATTACCTCCCTTATCTAAAAAAAATGTTTTTAAAAATTTCCCAAAAAAAAAAAATCTAATTTGGAAGCAACTTTTTTACTTAGCTCTCTGTATATCCCCTCCCACGCCGCTGTGTATCTACCCAACAATGAGCAAATAATTGAAATGGATGAGTGCTCACTTTCCCCCCTCGACTCACACGCAAACACCAACAACAACGGAGTCCCCGAACAACCAGCCATAGACAGCGATACTCTCATTGCTCGCCCATACACGTACGACCACTCGGGTTATAATTACTCTCCCTTGATTAAGGGGCAGTGACTCTGCGGCAGGGGTTGGATTTGTACGGGATATCTATCCGTGGCTGCGAGAATCACGGTGAATCATCAGCGTACAAATCCAATGGAGAACTCGTGTTAAACCTACACCGAGAGAAAGGTAGAGAGTTTAAAATGTAACTTCTATCCGACTGTCTGTTTTATCCGATCTTGTGATTATTCTTAATGGACAGAAGTGTCACATATTTTTTGCCATACAAGTAATTATACTTTATATATTTATTTGTTAATTAATTTAGAATATTATAAATAGAAATAAAATCAAATTCTGTCATACATTTGCTTTAATGTGATCAATTAAATTTCTTATACCAGCTAAAGACTGAAGTAAAGTCTCATCAAAGAAAAAATATTATAAACATTCATATGTAGTCTATATATGAATAAACATATTACAATTATTTAATAAGCTGGACTTATTTTATTTTCTCACATGAAGTTTTTACTTATAATCTGCAAAATAGCTTCAACATAGAAATGAAAATATTAATTTTTCAAAATAATTTTAACGAATCAAGCAATTTATAACGAGTAAGCAAAGAAACGGATTTGTAAGCAACAAAAATAGACATATTAAAAAACAATAACAGGGTTGCATTTTAAATTTACTTTTATATCTAATATAGTTTTGAGGATTACAATTGATTATTTGTATGAAATCCCACCAATTTTCAGGATTCCTAAAGAAGTATAAAACAGTATGTAAGTTAAAACTTAGCAAATTTACGGATAGCTTAATAGGTAAAAACTCAACGTTATGCAATACAAAACACCTTTATACTAATTTTTGTCATTACTGATATAAACATATATATATATATATATATATATATATATATATATATATATATATATATATATATATATATATATATATATATATATATATATGTATATATATATATATATATATGTATATATATGAAAAAAGATAGGTGATTAATAAAAGAAAAAAAACAAACTAAAAGGTCATATCGAACAGTGTACTGCTCATCCTGTTTACCTGTCTCGTGTTTACAACTGTCGGCCATTTTGTATTTAAAGTCGTGACAATCAATCCAGGAGACATTTTGGCTTGTCACCGGATATTGAAGTTTCGCGTACCGTAGTTTGTTTCATTACTTTTCATCTCCGGGTTTTTTATTTTTATTTTGTGGGAAGCGATCATCCAGATTAAACAGCAGAGCAAAAACAGTTAAGCTGGGAAAGCGCCTTATGCGTTGATTACATTTTTTTTAAACATTAAAAAAGTTGAATTTTATGACAAGCTGAATTAGAAATTAATTTTTTCTTTAAGATTCATATGAGCTTCTCTTTTTTTTAAAAAAAAAAGGGCTGAACAATCCTCACATCGCAAACATGTTATGAAACACATTAATATTGAATCAATGGAAAATCGGAAAACTCATTTAAAATGTTGAAGCATATGAAAAATCGTAAAATATATTTTCCAAATTGACGTATTTAAATAGTCTTCATATTGTCTGTCCAGAATATTTTTTTAATAACTTGCATTGAATGATGGGTAAATTCAACCCCCCCCCACCCATCCAATATTAACAAAAGCGCACATTTTAATATAATTCAGTATTCATGTATACTGTTCACGCAGTATATACAATAAAATTGGAACGATACAGAGAAGATTAGCATGGCCCTCGCGCAGAGATGATAGAATCGTGAAGCGTTTCCAAATTTATTATTCATGTATGACTAACTTTTTTGTTGATGGTACATACTTTTTAAATATATCCTGATGACCAACATATGTTTCTATACTTTTCTCTATTTTCGTTTAAGATGGTGACAGATGAGTGTCTATGAGAAGAAAAAAACCCAGAACAAAGTGAAAATTCAACACTGACAGCTAGAAACACACAACGCGAGAGCTAAGAGAATTGAAAATCAAGTTCCAAGCCATTTCATTAGATACAGTACTTAAAGCCAAACTGGAATAATCGATTCTGATTGATTGGGAGGTGTCATTGGATTTAGATTGATCTATTGATTAATTAGACATTTTCTTTACTTGGTTGCGTAATGAGATTGTTTCCCAACACTGCTAATGAGTGAACCATGCTTAGTATTCCAAAAACTGAGGTAAATAATAAGTTAAAATCTTAGGTGCTAATGACATGGATTATAAAATAAAGTAAAAAATAAAGGAACGTTCTAGAAACTCTGAAACAATGGGGTCTACGTTAAAATTGTGTCAACTGTTGTGTTTGAGTCTCGGACCCGTCTTGTCCGCTAATCTGGATCCTGACATCACGACTTCTAGACCCGCAGCCAACGACGCCATGGTCACCATGGAAACGGCTCTCCCCCTGGGAGACTTCCACGTCGACGAGGACATCATCAGCGCGAGGGAGAGACAGATCTACGAGGTCGTCAACTACGTCATCCTCGGCACGGTCATCGGGCTCTTCGGCATCGTCGCCAACATCATCAACATCATCATCTTCTACAGACAGGGCCTGAAAACGACTGTCAACGTCAGCCTGTTCGCGCTGGCCATCTCTGACCTATGTAGTCTGCTGACCTTGCAGTGGTTCAACATCTGCGTCAACCCGCTTTTTGAAAACGCCGACGACCTCTTTCCGATGATGGCGTCGGAGGTGATTTACCTGACAGCGGGGATTCCCCACGACTGCTTCGCTAGAATTACCTGTTGGATAACCGTCTACATCACAGCCGAGAGGTGTCTGTGCATCACTTTTCCTTTAAAAATCAAACAACTCATAACGCCCACCAGAACTACTGTAATCATCAGTTTAATTTACATTTTAATGATGGCGTCTTTTACGCCGGAGTACGCTACAGCCTACATCGGGTGGAAATACTACGCCAGTAAAAATAGAACCTTACTCGGGCTTAAGTTTACGTCTCATCGTAAACAAGTCGAGGGCTTGACGTTTTTGTTGTACGGAATTCTGGGTAAACTCTCTTTCGTCGCCGTCGTGTTCTTCACCGTTATCCTAGTCGTGGTTTTGAGAAAAAAAACAATATGGCGTCGGAAATCCATCTACGGGCATCAGAACTCCGAATCGATTTCCAACAGAGACAAGAAAACCATCAACATGATCATCATCATCGCTATTATCCTCATCGTCTGCTACACCCCTGGGACAATCCTATCCCTGGTGACCTTCTTCGTGCCAGACTTCAGTATTGTGGGGAACTACGTGAACCTGTTCTTTGCCGTCTGGTCTTTCGGCTTCCTGTTCGAGACGATCAACTCCAGCGTCAACATCTTCCTGTACTACAAGATGAGCTCCAAGTACCGCAGGTCCTTCTGCGGGATGTTCTCCAGGTGCGTCAAGCCGGACCTCACCTGGAAGGACACCAGCTCCAACAACAACGCCAGCATGCGGGTGATGAACGAGAGCAACAGCTACAGCGGTCTGAGGCAACATGAGTCCAGCTACTAATGGGTTAATTCAAAGGTTCATGCGTCCAGCGACTAATGAGTTAATCCAAAGGAAAAGTGCGTCCAGCGACTAATGGGTTAATTCAAAGACAACAAGAGTCCAGCTACTAATGGGTTAATCAAATGGAACATGTCCAGCGACTATTGGGTTAATCCATAGACAACAAGAGTCCAGCTACTAATGGGTTAATTCAAAGGTACATGCGTCCAGCGACTAATGGGTTAATCCAAAGGTACATATGTCCAGCGACTAATGGGTTAACAAATAGACAACATGAGTCCAGCTACTAATGGGTTAATTCAAAGGTACATGCGTCCAGCGACTAATGGGTTAATTCAAAGACAACAAGAGTCCAGCTACTAATGGGTTAATCAAATGGAACATGTCCGGCGACTATTGGGTTAATCCATAGACAACAAGAGTCCAGCTACTAATGGGTTAATTCAAAGGTACATGCGTCCAGAGACTATTGGGTTAATCCATAGACAACAAGAGTCCAGCTACTAATGGGTTAATCCAATGGAACATATCCAGCGACAATTGAGTTAATCTATATCAAACACGAGTCCAGCTACTAATGGGTTAATCCTTAGACAACACGTCCAGCTACTAATGGGTTAATCCATAGACAACGCCAGTCCAGCTATATACTGGGTTAATGTAAAGACAACTCAAGTCCAGCTACTAATGAGTTAATCCAAATTTACCAAATGGCAACAAGAATCCAGCTACTAATGGGTTAAACTACTTGCCACACATCTAGCTATTAACGGGTAATGTAACGGCTACTCCATCTGCTAATGGGTTAAACGACAACTATACTCCCAAAGCTAACGGGTTAATTGAAATAATTAAACAATTCTACTTTCGTAATCTTTTTGTTACTGTACTTAAATGTTTTTGAAAATATTGTAATTTTGATATTTTAAACGATTCACAACCTGAGATATTACTGGATTAATTATCTATATATATAATTCTCTTCTTCGAGCCGTTAGAAAACAAGCTGCAAACGCTCTCCCTACCTCCCCACCCCTACATGGTTTTAGTGAGCTGTGTTCACTCTAAATCAGGGGTCTCCAAACTACGGCCCGCGGGCCGTATGCGGCCCGCGAGGTCCTCTCATCCGGCCCGCGGAGATCTTTTTGTCCACGGAAAAAAAAGTTTGTTAGTGATGGCTGAGGAACTTAGCTCAGAAAAATCACTTCATGCCTGAAAGAAACTGGCCCCCGAACTGAAATTCGATAGTTAATGCGGCCCTCGGACTGAAAAGTTTGGAGACCCCTGCTCTAAATGTTTACAAGCAGAGCCAACGATTTTAAACGTAGGGGGGGGGGGGGGGAGGAGGGGGGAGGGAAGGAAGGGGGGGGGTATGGTCCTTAACGAGCTACTTATAGTGTTTTAAAGAAATATTTTCAGTGTCAGCGTTGGTACTGTCGAATTCACAAATTATGAATTATTGAAAATTAGAAACAACTAAATAGCGGCGTATGTTATGCCGCGGGCCGGCTCGTTAACAATAAAATCGCAGGAGATACTGGAAAGGGAGACAACCTATAAAAAACAGGTTATTTACAGTTTAGGAATGTATACTGGTAAAAAAAATTCACTATCCTCACAAAAGCAAATGAATATGAAACATGAATAAAATCTCCGTTTAACACGCTTTGAATACATTAAATATAATATTATACAAATAATTTTTTTTGCTATATTACACATATAGAAAATACACGATGTTATACAATTACCTGATATTTGAGCGCATAGCATGATCTTAACCTTGTTTACGAAATTGCTTTGGTGATACAGTTTAAATATATTTGCTACTTCGATGTCTTTTAAACGAACAATTTACCGTCTCTGTTTCTTCCATACTTTTTTCTCCGGGGGTGCACTTGAAATTTTCGGGGGGGGGGAGGTTTGCGGTGTCGCTGTAGATATATCTATCGGCAAAGTTTGAAACGAATTGCCCAGCTAGAATTGGTCAAAAAAGAGTAAAAAGATTTACCAACAGGCAGACAGGCTTGCAGGTAATGCGACCTTAGGAAAAGTAAAAAAACAAAAAACGAATTAAAAAGATGTGAACTTGGCATCGAGACAGCCCCAAGAGAAGTATACCATTTGTATCAGCCTTGTTATTAAACTTGAGAGATCTACAATTATGAATGCGTATTTTAAACATCACATTTATATTGTACTAATTGAATATTATTAAAATAAAAATAAAGCTTTTATGTATCTCTATGAACATCTAGGTAAGGAAATTTACATAGATCTAATTAAGGAAATCTACATAGATGTAGTTAAGACCATCTGCGTAGATCTAGTTAAGGAAATCTTCGAGAATATTGTTTAGGATATCAATACAAATGCATTTTCCAATTGAAGGGCTCAGTGGAAAAAGTACTTAAGTGTATTTTGAGAGTTTTGAGAAAAATGAGTGCAAAGTTTTAAAATTGTTATTGAAATAACAAAACAGCTGATGCAGAGTATTCAAATTAAGCTACTTCGGTACTTTTTCCATGGCCCAAATTTACAGGGATGGTTAAGGGGAGGTAGTCAAATAATATACCGGTCTTAACTCATTTTTGACAAAATGTAACTTAAGTACTTTTTCCACTGAGCCCTTCAATTATGTATGAGAGTTTGAAATAACATTATATTTCTCTTTTACACTTACATTTATTATTCAATTATTTATCTACAAGAGTGGTCAAGCACTCTGACATGAGAAATTGGCACGTCAATCGTGTCCATTGAGAGAAATTGTTAAATGTCGTTACAAAGAATAATTTAGGAAACAATTATTAACAAGAAAATAAAAAAAAAATCGTATTTTCTCAAGTTGTGAATAAAAAGATATATACATAAATGGCAGCTAACCTCATCTCTCTGAGTTAACGAAACGAAGTGACGACATACATAGCGAGGGTATTTAATTATTTAGTCTCGGATTCATCTCAGATATCCGTTAATTGAATTTTATATTTCGAAATAACGCGGTACAGTGACAAAAATGTCTATAAGGGCGTCATCTTAACTAGAAAGCTTCGGCTATTTTTTGTTAAAGCGGCTTGGTGATTGTTTGACGAACAATCCTTATTTATCTGAACAGAATTATCTTTCAGTGAATTTTGGCACATTTTTCAAACCATGACTTTCTATTATATATCTATTATATATATATATATATATATATATATATATATATATATATATATATATATATATATAATATATAATATAGATATATAATATATTTATATATATATATATATATATATTATATATATATATATATATATTATATATATATATATATATATAAATATATATATATAATATATACTATATATATATATATATATATATATATATATATATATATATATATATATATATAATGTTGCTTCTTTTTACGACTAATATTTTTTTTTATATATATAATGTTGCTTCTTTTTTACGACTAATATTTTTTTTTTAACTATTCCTTCAACGTTGCATTAATTAATGTTTCAGTCTATTTATTCGACAAATGCTGCCTTGGATGTTGTTGATCTCTGTATGAAATATGTTTATGCTCATAATAAATTTGTAATTATAACTTTATGTGTTGCTTAGTTGCTGTAATAAACGTCAGCCTATTCCATATTACTAATCTGCTTTCAAAATAAAAATAATCGTCCAAAGTATTACAGTTTACGTTATTCAAATCTTTTAAGTTTGTAACAATACATTACGTTATTACATTATATATATATATATATATATATATAATATATATATATATATATATATATATATATATATATATATATATATATATATATATTACATGTTTAATTTAGGAAAGTCTTAAAAAAAGATTGTGCAAACATTATATAACACGAAGGGGTTGAAGTGGTGGTTTATCCTGTTATATTGTGTTATACGGAGTGGAAATGCGGTGTGGCTATCTTAAAAAAAACTGTTTTTATAATTCTTATGTTCACCAAACTTTCAACAAGTAGAATGATTAGAACAATAGGTTAGAACAACAGGCTTACCATAAAAATTATTTGTATTAAACAACAAAACAAGAGCTTATAACTATTCGAAATGAACGTGTAAAAAGTAAAATACTCTGAACTACTGAGGATTTCTTTATTTGTTAAGATTACGGAATTTGTAGTAACATATTGTGTCTTGATATGAATGTCAGTGATTTCTGGTAGTGTTACACTGAAACATTATGCAACGTTATATGGGGTAGGTGGTGGCATGTTATATTTTGTGGTATATCGTAAGTAGAAGTTCCTTCTTAAATACAAATCATTTATGATGTAAACATTTATTGTAAATTACAGAATTCAACACATAACTATTTACTCACAAGCACACATAATCTGAGCAGGCAGTTCTTTTTCCTGCCGTATATTACCAAATAAAAGTGCCTTCCCTCACCTGCCGTATATTACCAAATAAAAGTGCCTTCCCTCAAACCCACCATCATCCGGGGCTTGGTTGTTTTTCCCACGTTTTCTTTAACTTGCTTTCTCTCTGTGTTTCTGTGTTTGTTTGTCTTTCCAATCAAATCTTGCGATCGAAATTTCTGGCACTTCCCAGTTAGCTAGCGCGCTGAAATTTTCAGGGAAGCTTTCTTTTGGATGACCATAGAATATGCAATTGTTATTATTACTAAATTGATCAATGGAACCATTTTATTGAGCATTTTAGACCGCTATATAATCTATATATATAATTCTCCTCTGCGAGCCATTAGAAAAAAAACCAGCGACGCGTACCTCGCGCGCAGTGAAGCGAACGATCCCACGTTGCCACAGGCTTAGGGGCAAATAATTTACTTTGAACCGAGTTTAAACTTACAGGATGTAGGCCAGTTTGGGGTTCAAATCTATGTGTTCTAGTCAGTAACGTATTCACACAACGATTTTTTTTCGAGTTGTCTTTTTAAGAGTTGTCTTTTTATGAGTTGTCTTCGTTTACCCAAAAAAAAG